GAGCCATCAGTGTCTTAGGTCATGCTGGACCTTCGACGTGGAGCGTGGAGACGAGAGCTGGTTTTTTTTCCTTTCTTTCAAGGAGTGGAGATTGTAGGTTTTATTTGTTTGTTCCGGGTGGTGTCGCGAGGTTTTTGAATGTTTGAATATTAGGCTCTTATGACTTGTAATCTTCTTCTCAACGTGGAGCTTGTAGGTTTTATTTGCTCATGTTAGGGGAATATTAATGTATCGTGTTTCTGAACGTTTGATATGCTCTTACGATATGATCTTTGAGTAAGGGACACAATTTTGCGTAGTTTTTTCAGTGTGAAGCTTGTAGGTTTTATTTGCTTGTTAGGGGAGTATTAATGTACTGTAAGATTTGAATATCAAGCTCTTGTGCTATAGTCTTTGAATATGAAACTCTTGTGTAGTTTACAGAGATATGTATTTATACATGGAATATAAATTGTAAAAATGTCTGTCAGTATTTAGAAAAATCAATAATTAATATTAAAATTCTGTACTTTATTCCATAATTTTCATGATGGACATGGACGACATACATGTATGGTATGTTACAATAATATAATAATATTACATAATATTATAATTAATTGTAACATAATGTTATGAATTACAACTGAGACTTTTTATTAGCGATATAAAAATGATATAGAAACTATTGTCACATAAACTATGATATAATAATTTCACTATTGCTATCTAATTGTCATCTCAATGTTTGTACAGAACGTTAGTTTCTATATTATTATTTCAGTTCTGTTAATGATATTATATCATAATATTCTGAAATTCTCGCAAAGGGGGCACAGCCTCAAGTTCTCGACGCTTTCCTTTGCCTCGATCATCACGCAAAAGCTCCAAAGAGCACCTCGTGCACGAATCTCCAGTATTGGATGGAGATACCACGGTGAAAGTGTACACTTTCTATGGAGTTCGCGGCACTACTGCCTTCAGCCTCGGTTAGAACTTTATTCCACATTGTGGAGAAGCGGCTGCCGGTGACAAATTAAAAGACGTTGGTATGACGAGCACTCGAAACGTTTAACTCCACTTTGAACTTTACAATTCTTTTTATCAACCTCGAAGTGGAATAGTCTTTGGATTTCGAAGATTTTCAAGAATTACCGCTTGGTTAAAAAAAGAAAATATTGCAGTTTAAAATATGTTTGCAATTAGAATATTCAGCCGCAAGAGGTCGCTTTCAAAGAATTACTTCATAACGAAACAAAGATGAAACACGAGGGTCCTAAGTGCCCCTTAAGTCGAGCACGGATGCTATATACTCTGCCGGAGAAGTAATAACGTAGCGGCCTCCACTTAAGAGAAACAAACATAGTGAAAGTATTGTTGCGTCTTTAAATATATTAAGGCAGGTCGATCGGGAAACCGTGAGCAAATTATGTACCATGTTCCGCTATACTCTCGCCGATCGCGATTGCAACGATCGAACGAGACCGCGATCGTTCTTTGGACCGAGAAATATGAAACAAATTGCCGTTTGTTTTTTATTGTCGTAGACGATTGTATAATCCATCGTAGGCTGGATACTAATATATCCTAATATATCCTGGATACACTAACAGACTCGTGGACGTTGTAAAACGAAACGATCGCTCTCTTCTTAATTAAACATGTTTATTCCTTGTTCAGATATATCGCGTGACGTTTTCATTATTTGAAAGATAACTATGGAAACTTACTGTTTGTAAAGAAGTACCTATATTTCGTAATGTCTAATACGTAGTGAAAATAAGAATTTTTAACTGTGTGAGAAGTAAAAAAAAAAAAAAAAAAAGAAAATAATTCAAATTAAAAAATATACCTACTAGCTTCAAGAATCTTTATTATATTTCAATAATGTTGAATGCGTGCAAAATATAAAGGCAATATATGAATAAATAGTTGAAATTTGTTACACTAAGGACATTTGTGCTATATTGAAAATTAAAATATACAAATATGTACAAGATACCGAAAGTAAAATAATATATTATTATATATTATATATTATATAATATTTAAAAAGTGAACAGATCCAAGGTGAATTAAACAAATATTTCATTTCTAACATTATTCTTCAATATATTATAGTTATTATATTTATTTACTTTTATTTATAATTATATTTATAATATTAATTGTATTATTATATTTAATTGTATTCTTAATTACATTTAAAGTTCTCATTTCTGTGTTTTTTCAAACGATGAACGTTCGAATAGCTTCGCGAGCCACAAATACGGAGCGTTATTAAGTCGATCGCGATTTTCCGCGATTTTCGCTGAAAACTGATAGGCCCGATGCGAGAAGGGAAGGCAAATGTTCCCGGTGCGCGACGCTTTTTGCGGCGTTATGGTCGTTAGAGGATAAACGAGAGATTTGTTGGAATAGCCAGGTAGCAAGAAGCTCTCTTCGCGGAGGTCTAATCGCGAGAAGCGTGTTAAAGCGACGCGCTCGCAATCCTACGACCACGTTCCGAGAAGAAAACGAAAAGAACGGAATATCTCGAACGGTGCAATTGCCGCGAGAACGAAGACGAAGGCAGAAAACGAAACGCGGCGAGATAATTTGGCGAACTCTTGAAGATGGCTCGTTTATCCGAGCGCAGCGAATTGTTTTAGAAACACCAGTGCAATACGTGTATTTTGTGTATTTTTTTTTTTTTTTTTTTTTTTTTTTTTTTTTTTGAAGAGATAACTCTGCATTTAAATGCAAATTTATAGTCTTCTTGAGTCTCTATTTAACATTTTTTGTTGTTAATATTCAATGTTTAAAGAGTAAAGAATCAAAGTTTTACACTGCGTGTGTATTTCATAGTTTTTGGATTTCTGTACAAAATGTACAATATCATGGCAATATATGGTATGTAAATTTCTGTACTCTATTTATAATAATAAAAAACTCTTGGTATATCAACACTTTATGGATTCCTTCGTACATAGAGTGTCATTTCGTTTTTCTAGTTTTGAAAAAACAGAGGATCGTCTGATCAAATATTATTATAGTGAATATAAACTCCTAATAATAATAATAATAAATAAACCGTTAAACATTGCAACGAGTATGTTTTAGTTTCGGTATCTTGTATATTTTTGCCGCTGTAGTTGCACTGTAACAGACAGAGAAATCGTTTACGAAGTTTTTGACAACGTTTCCAGGGAAACGCACGCTGTGCGTCAGAAACGGGTTAAGGGATTAACGATCGTTGTGTAACGAAACACGAATACGTATGTAGAAACGGTTAGAGAACACGAGAGCACGAAAGTGATATTTTATGGTACTGGTGTTCAAGGATTATCTCGGAAACGCAACTTTCGCGTGCCCGTAAGAACTGGATCTGAATGTTCAGAAATATCTGAATGTGTATTCGTGCAAAGTGCTGAGGTAGATGTATTTAGTAGGTAATTAAACAGATGCGTAAATGGGTAAATAAATAATAATAACACCTCTCTGAACATACCTTTCAATTTAAATGTGAAACAAAAACTCTTCGTTGTAATATTTTTATAAAAGATCTTCGATTCGAACGTTCAGCGCAGGAAATAATAATTCCTTGTAGTAAATTGATTCAATTGCATTGGAGTCGAAAATTGAAAATTCGCAGAACTCGAACAATTGTCAAACGAAAGAAGAACGACTTTCTGTGCGATAGTAAAGAATCCGAGAAACAATTTCGAAACGATCCTGAAACAAATAAAATTTATCCGAGTAAAGTTGAATTAATTCCTACACCAAAAAGGACCGAAAAGAAAGAAAAAAAAAAAAAAAAATAAAGAAGAAGAAACGGGGTATAATTGCTCGATTTCCGGTGTAACAGTTCCGGTGTAACTGTTGGCTCGCGAGTCGCACATGTACAAGTGTCAGTTATTTACCGTCTGAAACCGCCAACTACTTTACATTTCCGCGGAGAAATCCGAAGCGCCAGGCCGGCACCGTCTAGATCCCGTGTGATTTCTCGCCAGAACCCGTTGATCAGGCTCGTTTTCTTCTCTATCGCCGCCATAGATGGATCTCTCCTTTCATCGAACGCTGAAATTCCACTCGTCGAAACGTGAGTTTAGTTTCTCGCGTGTCTGCCAGTTCGCTGTCGGTTCGTGAAAAGCTGTTCGCTTCCTAGCTATCGTGCGTCGAAGTAAAGGGAGTCAAGGGAATCAGTGTCGCGGATAAATAAATTCGACCGTATACACCGATAAATAGCAGAGTTATTGTTCAAATGTCATCTCTCTGTAGTCGATCACCTACTTGTTGATCGATCGGTCATTTGTTAAACAGGAATACTTTCTAGAATTTGCAGTCATTGATAGTTGGTTTCTTTTTTTTGAAAAACGACTGACTTCTTTCGCGCTCTAAAAATGCCTCAGATAGATAATCAGATATGTAATGTAAATATATTTCGCAAGTGTACAACAGCCTGATTTTACATTAATCATGTTATTTTGCCCAACATTGGCGAAGAGTACACGTACGCACAGGCGAGTTAAACGTCTGATCTAGCATGTGTGTCTAGCTCTCGGTGACTTTAGACGAAAGTCGAGTTTCTGTTCACGATACGTTTCAAGGTCAGTACTTAACGCGCCCACGTAATTAACCTCCGACGAGTTGCCAAGCGGCGACTTTGTATTTTCACGGAGAAATCCAAGCCGCGACTTCTCGTTAAGAGAGTTCTCGAGACCAACCTCGTTTCCATCGCAGCTCGATCCCAGTTACTTAAAATTCATCGCGTTTCACGACCACAGCGTTAGGCTAGAAGAAGTTAGAAATGGTTAATTTATACGTGCACTTCCTTAATTCTTTATAATGATTGAGAAATGGCTCAGAAAATTTTGTATTGGACAGTTTTTTTATATCAATTACTATTCTAGGATGCACTGTGTCCGATTCGATGTAACAAGTGCAGAAAAATATAGGAATATCTCTTTCAAATAAGCTTATACACTTGTAAAATTGGTAATTTCACGTGTAACAAAGAATAACATACTTTCGCTTGAAAATTTGTTTCACTCGTTCAGCTTTATTCTCTAAATTACAAATATTTCAAACTTGAAGTTACGCTGGTACTAGACACTGTACAGGGATAAATAATGGATGTTGCGTTATTTGCATCGAGCACACATCTATCCTTCTTCGATGTACCAACGATCCCGCCCGAGAGTTAATTAATATGAACCTCCACTCTATTATTTCTCTCAAACTATTTATTGGCGATGACACGACCACCCTGTTTAGATTCATGAGTTCGTCCACGATCCGGGACAGATTAATTTACCGCGACACATCCTCTCGTTGTTCGTTTATTCGTTAAGTTAGGAAGGGGCCGGCTCGTGTAACGGTCGTGAATAAAATTTTGGCCTCGATTTATCGCGCCACCTGTTCACTGGAGCTGCTGCCGGAGCAGCTGCCCGTTTGCTATTACAGGGAATTTGTTCACCGGCGTAACGAACGTGGCAAGCTGCTCTCGCAGGTGCTACCACGAAGACGAGACGAAAAATGCAATTTCGATTTCTTGCTCTGCTCGCGCTGTCATTCCCACCGGAGAGAGAGACTTCTTGCTCGTCATCCTAGCGCCTCGCTTCGTTCGTGTAATCTCCCAGGTCTATTCGAGCGACTCCGTCACGAACTACCAGCATGCACGTTGTTGCGAAAAAGTCGAAGACACGTTGCTCGACTCCGCCATGGTTGAAATCAAGACGAAGACGAAGTTTCATGCCTTTTGATGCGGTCGTACACTTTTCCCGTTGAAATTTTGCCAGTGTGAATTAGTCTGTAAGTATCTGGTTAGAGATTTATTATTCAAAAATTTTACAGGTAACTGAACTAGATTTTTGTACGAGCATAATTTAGAGAGCCAGATTGATGCACGACTGTTAAAAATTATAGATGTTGCACTAATTTTTTAAATTAATTTCTTTGTCGATTGATTCGTTAATTTTAATTTACTTGCTCAATCTTTGTAACGTGATGGCCCCTTTTTTCACTGTTACTGTAATTACTTGTGATTTTTTAGTTTAATATCGATTTAATTTCTTAATTCCAATTTACACAGAATTTCTACTCATATTTATGTATAAACTTCTTTATTACACGTTACGTTTTACACATTTTGTCTTTTTTCTTTTAATCGTTCTTACTTTACACAGAACACAATTTCGATCTACTTTTTTAAACTCTGTCCTATTTACTGTGAACTTTTTGCTACACAAAATTTCGAATTTATACATTTTTAGTTTCTAGTTTCTCTACAGATTTTCTCTTCTTCACTTACCTAGCGATACCAGCGTAGTCAATTTTATTTTACACGGAACACGCGTCCGACAAAGTTCATACAAGACACGTTTGTGCACACAGTTGCTCAAAGAATACGCATTAAAGGCACGGCGGTTGAGCAAGAGAGTCTCGATGCATCGCATTTCCAAGACAAATTAGACTCGGTGGTAGATGCGATTTGTTTTGGTGGAAGGCGCGATCTTTACGTGGATCGTGCATATGCGCGCGGCAACAACGGAGAGCGTGGGAGTCCGACCTGGGCTCGACCAGGGAAATCGAGATCACGTGCATAGCAATGCATAGCCACGACATAGCGCATACTTCGTTCGTTCTGCGTTCACTTCCGCGACTTCTGAACTTGTTTCCTAGCGTTTACGGGCATTACGTAAATCCGCGCAAAGGCTCTTTACCTTCGTTCACCGTTGCATTTCACCTGGCGACCCGATCGTTGAAGCTTAACCGTCGTAGATCTCCATTGTAGATCGTTATCCACGTTTCAGTGGTTTGGTTGTACATACAGTTGCTGGAGAAAGAGCTTTCGAACGCAATCTGTTCAATTTTCAAGTATTCAATGAAAAATTCCGCCGACACTCTTACAAATTGTGAAAAGAGAAACGTCGCGTAGAGAAATTTCAAGGGGAGGCAGACTTTGGTCCTCGAGATCATGGTGGAAAGAAATTTTTTTCTACTTTGATGATGATGATGATGATTGACTTTTGCGAAACTTCCTTCCGTTCAAAAATATGTTCGAAGAGACTGAAGTTTAGAATTTATCTAGATCATCGTACTCTTAATAAGTTTCTATATTCATTCAAATTTATCCAAAATAAAAGGTTCAATCGATAAAGCAATATATATATTTTAATTAAGGAGAAACTCGATCCTGAAATGAGTTTTTAATATTTTTTTAAATTAGAACTATTCATTAGAAATTTGTCTATCTAGACGTAGAATTCTCAATTCGAGCTAAGACTGAGATCGATTAATTCGCGATGTTCACTCGTTTCACGATGAATGACAGAGGGAACGAAACGATTTCGGCGAGCCGATGAAAAAACGAACGATCGACGCTTGAAATCAAAGGAGTAACGAGATTGCTGGCTTCAAAGGGAGGAAGGCATTCGTTTTCAGAGAATAGGAGATCGCGATAATTGGAGGCTATACGTACTTTCATTTACTCGAGGGTTCTAATTTTCCAGCCAGGCCCGACAGCACCGTCAGACATTGCTATAATTACAGCGTCGCAATCGCTGTCGCTGTAATATCGGATTTACTGTTGCGCCATTAGGTGGCAAGAGATTGCAGATCTTTCCACCCAAGATATCTCGATTTCGCTGTATATCGATATCGTTCCGCGGGTTTTTCCGTTGATATTTTATATATATATATATCTGTTGAAATTGATGTTCGAAACGAAACGTTCCGATAGTGGTGCAATAGTCGTGATATTATTCTGGTAAAACTTGAAATGTCTAATTGACTCAAGTATTATACAATAACAATTATTTTAAATCGCTTAAGCGATGCAGGATTCGATAATAATTAAAGGGATGTGCAAGAACCCGAAAATATCGAGAAATTTTCGAGGTTCCCAAAGGAATTTCGAGAACCCGGCTATCATTTCTCAAATTACTCTACAATGATGTACAAATCACATATGTAAATACACAGTTTAATTTCTTCTGCCAGTGAAATTATTGGAAACACGGATTCTAAGAATCGTATGACCCGATGTAAACGAACGTGTGACTGCGTGTTTGTCGTACTTGACATTATGTACGGTGTTGAGCAGTATCGCTTGGAAATTCGGAGAGCTCAGACGTATATTTCAAAGTCTGTGTAAATTTAATAAAGATTAAGAATCTTTGAAAAAAAAATGTCGAGTGATATTGGGAGTAAAGTTGTGGTAGCAGAAGATATCGTGTAAAGGAAAAAGGTAAGAAAGGCTCTGTTTGGGAACATTTTTAGAAAAAAGATGATACAAAGACGGAATTGTCACCATGAATTTAAAACTAAGTATGCAAATACTACTGGTTTGTTACGCCATTTGAAGCATATGTATCCAAACATAAGCACATGTACTAGAAAAGAAACTGAATCGATATAAAATTTGTCGCATGTACAAAATGATACGCGAAAGATTGTTAAACCAAAAAATATAACAAAAGAAATTGCTCGAATGACTCGATATAGTTGAAGGCGTGGGCTTTAACGAATTATTTAAGCTTGTTCCCAATCTTTTTCCAAATCCCTTCGGGAATCTCGATTCTTTCGAGATTATCCCGACTCGATATTTCTCGCTCATCTCTAATAATAATATTTGAAAGATGAAATTTGTTTGTTATATGAATTGTCTGTTTAACATTGCTCCATTACTAATAATTTTTGTCAAGAGTGTACAAATATCTATCATTTTCAATAGAACATGTTCAATATAATGATATTTATAAATGATCTTCACAAGTGTTCGAATACTTTGGTGAGATACCATCGTGCATCGTCATTTGGACAATTCTGAACGATTGAAAAAATATAAAACACAATTCAAATGGATTTTTTTCTAAATTTAACTGTAACAGTTAATAGAATAGCAAATAGTACAAACAAAGGAGCAATAATTGAAAGCTGACGCGTCTTTGATCATGTCTGTTCAATGCTAAGATATTAAAAGAATTGAAATTACCATATTCCTTTCACCATTCATTGTACATATCAAGATTAAATTAAAACTTCATTTGGATTCTATTTTATAGTGTCCAAATACTTGCGCATGTTCCTTGTCTCGTATTGGCGTGTGTTCCTGTAAATGAAATTTAACAAAGTATTTGAGTTCAGTAACACGTAGAAAATCAACAATCAGCAGGAATGCAGTTCATCGATCGCAACTGCGAGAGGTGATTACAGTGGAATTGCACCAGGTGTTCAGTTATTTGTTTTCGCGGCGAGTGTCGCGACAGCGAGAAGAAACGTCAAGACAGATCCGCAATTAGAACGTAAATAAGGAGTCCATTCGGCACAGTTAGATCACAAGGCAACTATTGGCATTTGCCAACCTACATACCTAGACAAGCGGTGCTTGTCGCTCGTCCGAGCGATCGTTCGGCCGCGGCGAAAGAAAAGGAGGTGTAAGATCGGTTCCACGACGTCGATCTCCGCAACCAGTTTATCGAGTGAAAAGTCTCTCGACCTGATGCTCGTTGAACGCCATGAAGACGCAATCCAGCCCGATCGGGCTGGAAAAATTTCGTTAAAGCCGCGAGCGCGCACACGCGAATCATTCACGTCGAACTTTATCACCGGCAGGCTGTTTTCGCGAGGTTTTTGTCCATCTTTGCGAGCTGAACAGATACTGAACCGATAAGCCTGGGCTAATACCATCGATAATTGCATCGATGATCTCACGTTGCTCGGCACTGTATAAAACCAACGTGGTCGTTAACAGTTTTACGCCGGTCGATAATTAAAGCGACTCGCGGCCGTACTCAGCTTTCCGCTCGGAAGTACTCACGCGAGAGTAAGTGACGCGTGTATAGTGGGCGGGAGAGATGCAGCTGGTTCATAAAATGGATGTTCTACTGCGGGGAGGACGTTCGTTTGGTTATTGCTTGCGTTTTAATCCATTTGTGGATAAGAAGGTGGAAGGAAGTACGGGGAGTAACGATGTGGGATAACACGCGAAATATCCAAATATAATTTGATCTCAATGTCGTTCAACAGTTAGAGAAGTTAGCTTTTTATTTGTGAACTAGAGAAATTAAAAAAGCAAGTTGAATTTAATGGAAATATAGGAGAACTGTAGAAGTAATTTATAGAGCATTTATACATTGTAGAATTTATAGGAAATCCATGCAACATAAGATTTTGTTAATTTAGAATTTATGGAATTTATTGGAAATTTAAACTTGTAGAATTTACTGGCAATTTAAATATTATAGAATTTATAGGAAGTTTAGAATTTGTTAAATTTATATGTAATTTAGATGTAGAACTTATAGCAACATAAAATTCGTAAGAGATTTAGAACTTGTAGAATTTATTGGAGATTCAGACATTATAGAAATCTAGAATTTGCAGAATCTACAAGCAATTTAGATATTAGATAGGCTTTCGACTTGCATTGAAAATAAGCAATAAAATTCCTATTGTAATATTGAATAAATAAATAAGATAAACTTCCGTTAAATAAATAAATAACATAAACTCACGTAAAATTTCACGATAATCATAGCTGTTTATTCCGCTATATGTACAGAACAGATAGAAGCAGATGAAGGATCCATCCTAAGTTGACATAGCGCAGGTACGAACCGGGCGTTAAATTTACGACGGCCAACAGGTCTCAGGGATTAATCATTACGATCATGGAAAAGTTGTAAAGTTTAACTACTTAACCGATTTTACGAGCTGGCCATATCGCTTTCGCTCACTATACCTGAACAGCGGGAATACCTGATCGTTGACCAGCCCCAAGCGGGGCTTCGTCTCATTGTTTGATCTACTCGACGGGATACCAACCTCGTAACAATGCTCTCTAACGACGCTTGCACCCAACGTCCATCTAACGAGCGAGTTTTTCCACGGGAGAAAGGAAGTTCACGGCACGACCTCGTGAATATTCTCAGTACTATCTGATGGACTTGCCGATAAGACGAAATATGAAGTTTCAAATTCGATTTTCGATTCGAAACAAACCGATAAGTGTAATAAATCTTCATTGCTTCACTGTCGAGAGATTTTATTCAGCTTCACAGAGAAAAACGTGAATTTTAACAAATTTTAAGCATATACCTGTTCTTGTGCTCCTTGTGCATTGTGCATTGCAAATGAAAATTTTCCGTATCGTTGTATTTGTTTCGACGAACGAGAAAATATGGAATTGTGATGTTATAAATCTTCCCGTTTCCCAAGTAATGCTAAAACTTGACATTTCCTCTTTCTTTGGTGGATCCTTCGGTTGGTATGACAATATAACAATACAGCAATACAAATATTTCGTATTTACAATGCAACAATGCGAGTATTGAAAAGGCTCATAAATATCCGGAAACTTTGGTTGATAATAACCATAAAATTGACCGAAGATAATAATTTTCTATGGAGGTATTGAAAAAGATTTTTATAGATTTTAAAGCACCTATCTGCTGGAAGCAGGTAGTACCGATAATACGAATGTATTTTACCATTCATTATATTATTTCAACACTATTGTTTGTGTTACTATTCAAAATCCTAATAGTATCTTTCATTTCAAAAATTTAAGAACCTAATGGCAGACAGTGTTTCGAGTGATAAAACAATTATACGAGATTCAGTATTAATGTTTTACTACTGCGTGTTAATAAACTGCGAATATCTTGCAATTTTTGTTAATATAATTAAATATAATTAAATAAATGGATATTTAATTAAATATAATTATATATTGTATCGAACATAATTAAATAAATGGATATTTAATTAAATATAATTAAATATTTAATCAAATATAATTAAATAAGTGGAATACCTCTACTCTGAATGTATATATACACGTGTCTCGTCAAGTTTTGGAATTTTAAATTTTCCCGCAGTTTGCACGCGGTAAAAATGACTTCTGATCAAAGCTTTCTCTCTTTTACCTACTAAATTTCATCTCGATCAGCCGCCGATACCTTCCGGACGTAATAATATATTGGTGCACGCGTGTCGTTCCTTCTGATCTTGTTCCGGTTTTCGAGATCGTTCCCAAACGAGACGTCGAACACGCCGGAAAAAGCGTCTCAGCGTTGCAAGAAGAAACGCGGCTCGCGCGATTAACGCCGCGATGCTTTCACCGTTGTTCTTAGGATTAGAGCGTTGGCCGCGCAACTTCGCTTTCTAGAGGCTGTTCAGATCATCGGATTACAACGTTTCGACGCGATCGCGGTATACTTGAACGCATCTCGGCGCAGTCGTTTGAAAATCTTCGTGGATCGTTTGCTAGTAGATTGTCGCATGTGAAACGGCGAATTACGAATTCCAACATTTTGTTAAAACTAACGAGAGATCAAATTATGATCGAACTGCGAAATGTATGCATCTTTATTGGAAAATACGCGTTGTCAATTTTCTGCCTTGGTTTCCGAAAGAATGTAAACCTGTAGAAATCCAGAAATCTAATTATTGAAGTTAGCATTCAATAATTGATCAATTTATCAATTTTTCGCATAAAAATTTCGACGATTATTCGTTTAACGCGTAGTTCGACGAAATATTAATTCCTGCTTAAAGCTTCGAGTTGTAAAAATAATCGACAGCTAATGAACATTATATTTAACAACACACTTTCGATCGCTAAATTCCAAATCACTCGACACGCTTGCGAAATCGGCCGTTCGTAACGATCTCTACAGCGTGAAAGATTGAAACGCGAAACTAGACTAGCAGAATTTCCATGCATTGTGCGCAATTAGAAAAAGGAAAAAAAAAAAAAAAAAAAACGCGAGTGTATCTGCTTGTTGAAGAAAGAGCGAAAGTGAAGCATGCAGGAGGACTTGCTCGCGCAACGTTACCTCACCTTCGTGACGTCTTTTTTCGTCACGCTTAGCAGAGGAAAGACACGCGCCCCTAATTAATATTCTCCGTCTGGATCTCTCTGTTGAAAACGCCTCTGAGATTTATTTGAATTATTTTATAAAAATCCGAAGACCAGAGAAATTGTGCAACCAAATTGGAAGAACTTCGAGATATCAGAATCTTTTTAACATGCTCATTTATAGTCAGCGAAGTCTCTTTGGATATTAGTTTATTTTAAGATAAACTTTGGATATTAGTTTATATTAAAATAAACTCAAACGTCAGATTGAAATAATTATAAAAATAAAGAAAAAAAACAAAGAAAGAGGAACGAATCCTGATTTGTTAAATTTTTACATCTTAAATGTCGAATCTTAATTTATAAAAAAACTTACACCGCGGTAACGAATTAAACACACACTGATGAAAATCATTTCTCATTGTACAACAATAATAAGTAAGGAGTAATAATCTGGTGATTCTGTTCGCAGAGGCAAATACGCGACGGTGAGGAGATGCCGGGAGAGATCAAGCGGGAGGCAGTGGGCCGCGAAATTTCTGAGGAAGAGGAGACGGGTGCAAGAATTGAGGGCGGAAGCGCTTCACGAAGTCGCGGTGCTGGATGCCGCGGCCAACTGTTCCCGTTTGGTTTCCTTGCATCAGGTGTTCGAAACGAACACGGAGATGGTGCTGGTTTTGGAATTGTAAGTCCAACTCGTGCCAAATCGTTCGTAATCGTTTCGAAGCGGAATTCCAGAGAACGATCGATTTCATCGGAGGAGACGATATCAAAACCATATTTGATTTTGCAAGTGTTCGCGAGTTTCCTTGATTCCATTAACTAACGTTCACGGAAACATTCGTAGTCTGGCGAAATGGCCTGATTGCAATTTTGATTGATCGATGTACGCTGGAATTTTTGCATTCGCAATGTCTATTTTTGTAAATAATATTCTATTGACGTAAGCTATATAAAAAAAAAAATAAAAAAAACTAGTGTGCACAGATAAAGTAAAGATTTTTGTAACTGATAAGTTGAGGATTACAATATTAAGATTCTTCAGCATTACTTTTCGTAGAATAATATTTTGAAACTCGACGCGTTTTATATATATTATTGTCCTTTATTTATTTTTTTATTATATTATTCTAGTTTTGAGTTCGATTTATTTTCTTACATTTTCGAAATATATTATTGCATACACTTTTAGAAACTTTCAGTGAAGACCATACTAATAGTGGAAAAAAAAGTAATTATTAAAATTCCCTAAAGTTCGACTCATTATTTTTACAATTTATATAAAATTTATCTAATTATTAGTTGTACGTCAATACGATTTTTTTTTGTTTTTAATTTAAAGGGCTCCTGGCGGTGAATTACAAATGATACTGGACCGAGACGAAGTTCCAGAAGAGCGACAAGTTGCCAGACTGCTGAAGCAAATTTTGGACGGGATAGCCTTCCTGCATTCTCTGAACGTGGCCCATCTCGACATCAAGGTGAGTCTCGAAAGTTGTCCAATATGCTTCCAGAAAGATTTTCATAGTACTGTACGCAGAATGTTCTAATGTTCAAATTTTACAACAACAGGTCTATATGAAAGGTTATTAAAGTAAAGATACGAAGTTTTTTCAAGTTTTCATATTTTGAAAAAGAAATGTATTAATTGAATATTTTTCACATGATTAGAATATTTATACAGTTGATTAATTCATTGCGATGAAGCTGAATTTCATTTCATTTTGAAACGAACCTCGTAGGATAATTCAGTTTTTTTTATCGCTATCAGTCTTCTTATCGATTGGGACACTTACGAGTAATTAAATTGATTGTGAACCTGTCTTTTATCTTGTAGCATAGCAACCGCAAATCCACTATGTATACTGTTCCTTTCATGTTTCATATTTTATATAAAATATTTTCATTTTTAGCGAAGTTTTAAACGACTGGAGTTGTTGTACATAGGACAGATCGATATTTAATATAAACTGATCGTTTCTTGATTTTAATAAATTTATTATTTCATTCATATCATACAATATTATTACAACATACAATACACATTACAATATACAATATACATTACAATATACAATATACTACAATATACATTATACAGTAAAGTAAGGTTTATTAAAATATATCATGTAACGAGTCGTAATCAACTCAATCTACATTCTTTCTCATTTTCATTAAAGACAATCTTCAGAGTTCTCAAAATCATTCCAACGAAAAGAAATAATTTCACTCGCAAGAATTTCCTCGTAGTATACACTTCAATGAAAAGTACGATTCATCCTTTTCCATTTGTAATTTCATTCGTTCGCGCAAGGATGAATTTTTGTACATCATTTGTACAACGTTTGTTTCTCGCGGCAAGAAATTTCGAACACCCTGTATGGAAATGAAAAGTTCCGTCACAGAAAAAAAATCACCGGTCGAGAGCGTGTGTGCGTGTGTCTTATCTACCCGAGCATTAAAAAAAAAAAAAAGACGACGAAGAATCCGATAAGAGCTCCGGCGGATTGTCGCGCGTTTCTGCAAATAACTCGTTATCTAGATTTTTCCTGCCGAGTTGAAGAACCTTGCCGAGAGGGGGGGAGGGAAATTGGCACGGGCCCCCGGCGCCCGTATCTGCCCCGAGAGATCGAGAAACGACGCGAATAAAAACTGGAGCACAGTGCGATCTTTGAGCCGCGCCTAATCCCGAGGACCGAACTCGGCGATGAGAAAGATAGCAACTCTCGTTGGCAACGACGTTGGCTGTTTCTCAGCGAGCGCCAGCGTGTTCGACGTCGCGGCTCGGTGCGAACGACCTAAATTGTTATGTAAAAGCGTCTCGAGCTTTGCCAAAGCTCTCCGAGTGTCGAGCGCCGTGAGCTCTGTGTTGTTGCATGGTCGTCGAGGATGGTGTTACGCATCGTCAAGGAGGGCGTCGATCCGTCGCTGGATCTCACAGCGAGCGGCCTTCTCTTGCACAATTGAACTAATATTTTTAGCGAACTAATGTTTTTCCCACGTCTCGCATATTTAACGGGATTATTTTCGTATAAGTGGTAACAATGTGGCAACGCACGGTGGTTATATACATAGTTATATACGTGTATGTATGTTGTATATTAATAGTATACATAAGCAACACAATGTATACAACGTATTTATTATATAATTGTATGTAATGTGTTGTGATATAAAATATACAATGTATACAATACATAGACTATGTAATATGAAATATATGGCAACATACAATGCATACAGTATAATGAATTATTTGTCAGGAAGCAAACAAATTTCACAAATATTCGTCGTTCTCTTCCACTTTGTTGCTAAAAAACATATAATTTAAAATACGAACTTCCATTACATATTATGCTCGATTTTTTTTGCCACACGTGCAATTAATCCCGAAAGGATTAATTGTAAATTAGACTAAAGCAGGGTTTGCAGAGTTCTATGCAAATTAAGGAAAATTATTGTACCATAATTCGAATATTTCGCATATCTTATCATTTTCCATGCAGTTTTATACGAACTCTCTTGCACGTACTCATAATTTCAATTACTATCACACTTGACAAACATTCAAATTCGATTCTCAAGAAGATCATTCCCAATCGTTCTCATTTCCAATTTGTTCGTTGAACGTTGCAATGAATAGAACCTGCCTAAAGCTTCGCTGTTACCGTGATGTACGCTACGAGGGTTGCATTAATTCGTCGTTCGCATTGCCGTCTCAGAAAGTGACTTTCTCGCGAATTCAAATATTTCTCGCTAGAAAGTGAGGACGTTCTCGCCGGAATGCAGAAACGGGGAGACGCATTTTTCTTTCCCCCCTCGTCTCGAAGCCGTCGTTATCATAAAAGAAAAGCGTCGTCTGTTTGAGAGGGGGAAAAAAAAAAAAAACATAGTGGCGCGAACACGTGCACGAGCGGAGGAGGAATCACCGCGATGGAATTCCGACGAAACTGGCTCCGATACGACGTTTCTGCCTACTCGAAATTATTTTCGTACCAACCACGAGGGAGTCGCGTCTCGGCGCGAAACTTTGATTCAAAAATAACTCCGGCGCGCCTCTATCCACTTTAGCTTTTTCGCCGCGAGAGAGTAATATCCGGAGGAAGGAACGAAGCATCTCGGAGCTCTCCTCTCAGCTAAAACGTTCCGTTTAATATTTTGTTTCATTTTTCAACGTGTATGCAGGATCGTTGGTGACTCTACGTGGCGAAATAAGTGAGAAAAAGAGGGTAATATCTTTCTTAAGTAAGTTTCAGACTCCGTTTCCGAGGAAAGAGATTTTAGCGATTAGCTAAAGAGAGGAAAATAATAAAAGAATAGTTCAAATTTTCAAGCTGTTCTATAGTGTATAATAATTGAGGAATAAAATATTTACAGATTATTATTGTCATACTTTTATTATCAGCGTTTACGTTTGTTTCGGCATTTGAATTTTTGCATTCGTTACATGTTAGTTCTTTGAATTGTTCCAATTATTTATTAATCGTTCTCAGTCATCGAGAGTCGACAGTAACATGAAACGAGTTCAAAATGACGATCGATAATACACGATTGCTATATTCGAAAATTTACAGAATGCTTTAATACTTGTCCGAACGCTTTATCGTTCGAAAGTAGCCGGCGAACATTTCGAACGACTGGCAAAACACGACAGAGAGTACGCGTACTTTAGCAGTAAGGAGGGCAAATCTCTTCAACGATCCGTGCACGATTCACCGTGTCGAGACCGAGTTTCTACAACGATGGATGAAAACGAAGCCCGGTATTTGCATAATTACCCCGGTTTTATCCGTCGATAAATCTTCCGATTTTGCCAATAAATCGCTTTAAATTACGTTAAGCGTCGTGGGATAGGCGATGCGTCTCGTTGATGATAGATAAGCGTGGTTTACGTGCGCGTCACGAGTGCACCGGTGTACACGCGCTTCGCGACAACTCGCGAGATCCTTTTCTTGTTTGGCGACGATCTGCAATTTGCGAACGACGTGTACGCCGCAAAGAAGAAAACCCGCGAGAAACAGGGCGACGAATAACGAGCATAACTCAAGGAAGAAAATGTACCATCGTGTATGTACAGCCGGTTGAAAATGGCGCCTATTTTTTTTTTTTTTTTTTTGGCAATAGATATCCTTATGAAGACTGAGAATTGATTTTTACGCATCCACGTGAGACACGAAAATGCATAGAATGCAGGTAGTGTGCGGAAAAAAATCCAAAGTGCAATACTTTGAATAATAATTAATAAAAAAAGAGAAACAATTTTGTCTACATATTATGTAAAATAAATGGTTATATGCCAATAACTAATTGTATAATAATGATTCAAGATATATAAAAATTCGAGAGTCACAAAATTATAGTTATTACAAAAATGACAAAATATCCTTTTGTAAGTACTTTAAAAATTACGAAAGAGCGTTTATCTTTAAATAATTAAAAATATTATTATATTCTGTTTACATAAACGGCTCTTTGATTCTTGAACTTTTACTTGTATCATTACTCTATACTAATATTATTAATACTTGCATTAATATTATCATTATTGTATTGGAAATTACTACCTTCGTACGCTATATTTATGCAAACGGATTTCGCTTTCGCAAAAATATTGCTAGGTGCGCCGATATTCCTCTGATCCACTGTACGTATATTTATCGATTATCGACGTGATCGATACGGGTGAGCCAAGGCGAACGAGTCGTATTAATAATATTCCTTCGGCGGTACACGTGGCGGGTCGCATATTTCAGTCCTCCTCCTATTTTTTTCTTTTCTTTCTTCCTTTCTGTCTTTCCTTTTTTTCCTTCATTCCTCTTTAAGGTGGCTCGAATTATGATCGCACGCACTGTTATGCAACCCAATTACTCATCTTTTGCAAATTGCTATCAATTTGCATGGATGCAGGTTACTAGGGTGCGCGAAGGCTAAATTGCTCGACTAAATGCGTTGTTAAATTTTATCGATCGCAGTGAGTTAAATCATGGCGAGCGGGGTGGAAGAAACGTCGAACCGAAACGGAGAAAATAGGAGTGAGATTAAATTTTGCGCGGTCGAAGTCGTGACTCGACTCGGAACGTTTGTTTATCAGCTTTTCTGCTCGGTGATATCGACGATTACGCCGAGAATTATCGCGATGTTTCCCGAACGATAAGATAATGTTCCCTCGCGCTGGTACTCAGACACGTGAAAATTGTTCGTTTCAACGATGAAAATTTTAAATCGAACCCGCGTGTTTGCACGTACTTTGCGACACGGTGTTTCATCTTCGAGCATTTAACGTCAGTACAGCCAGTCAGTCTCTGGCTGACGTTCGCTCGAACGTTGGTATATCTCACAATAATTGAATAATTATGATTGACGACGGAAAGTAGACGTAAACGCGATACAAATACGATCATCGTTTAAGTAATGGAAAATAAATATTCGTATTATAAATCATGCTTTCAGTTAAATGAAATTTTGATGGATGAATTTGATG